TAACTCCTGAAAATATAAGTCCCATTAAATTCTGTTGCTCAGGAAAAAAGGCACGATTACCCGATTTAACTTTAAAACATGTTGCTTTAAATTTAGTATTTTCCATTATATCGAGATTTTCGGCCGTTATCTCGTTAAGAGCAATTTTTAAACAGATGGACATCTCTGCAAATTTGCAAAATATGCCGATTTTGGTATAACAGTTATGGCAGAGACGAGTTGGCATGGTTAAATTCATTCTTGTTGTCATCGGTTGTATTCCATCTGCCAATAGTTCCACAATGCGTAAGAGTTTTAGATTGTCTTTCAAATTATGTTGCAGTTGTGTGCTTTTTGATTTACCCAAATCTTGTAAACATGCTCTACAGAAGTTGTTTACTGTAGCACGAGTTATTGTCAGCATCGCGTAAACGAAATATGGGTCTACAAGTTATAGTTAAATAATGAACTGCGTTTGTTTATTTTTTATATTATAAATCAAGTGGTCAGCACTCTGTTCGTTCAACTTTTATACATTTTCTTTGGTGCTGAGTGCTGAGTGTGAAACTAATTATCGATAAATGTTGAAAACAGCTGTATTAATAGTTATGTTATTAATTTGTTGCGGACAACGATTGGTAACCAGTTAGCAGATTTGGTTCACAATTTATGAAAAAACGTATTTGCATTTATTCAACCAGTTGATTGGACTGAAATGCTATTAAATTATTATAGATAATTTTGAGCATTATCTAAAGATATTTTTTCATTAATTAATTTAATTTACTTTTAAAATTATTTTGTCTTGCTGTTATCGATAGCACTTTTGTCGAATGTTAAGTTAACAGAAGTCCAACAATCTTCGTTTGAGGCACGAAGAAGAAGAAGCAAAGTCGTGGAATACATACATAAATTCTGCGGCTGCTGCGGCTTATCGTGATTTTTTTAATAGTTTTTTTTTTAAAGGCTAGACAATAAGCGTATGGAAAACGGTGTGGAAAATGGTTTACTGCCCGACGGCGAACCACTAGGAGCGCGTGAAAATCAAATGGGCAGCAGCACAGACGGCGAGGGTGATGGCGAGGGCGATTCGACGCCTCAGCCGCCACAAACAACAAATGACGATGTAAGCGACGGCGATGCGGATGGGGAGCGCGATATGTCTGTGTCGGATGCCGCTGAAGCCGAAGCCGATGCAGAGACTGCGGAAACAGAAGCAGCTCCAGCTGAAAATAGTGCACCCCGCCGGATATCCATCCTAGACGACAGCCTGTGTGAAAAGGACGTGGATAGCGATGGGCCCGACGACGAAAATGATGATGAGGTGAGCTTCATTTGTTACAGTTGAAATAATTTAAATTCATATAATTACAATAATCTTACTTTTCCCTATGCACAGGCGAAAGAAAACTATGAAGGATTCAATGGGACCGGCCGCACAGTCACTTTGCAAACACTAATGGCCGCAAATGTTTTGCAGCCAGGCAAATCATTGATGACTATTGATTATCTAGGACAAAAATTTGTGGGCGATTTGCTGTCAGACGGTAAAATTAAATCACAAGAGACTGAAACCATATTCTTAACGCCCAGCGCCTGGGCCATGCACTGCAAGCGCATTATCAATCCCGAAAAGAAAAGCGGGTGCGGTTGGGCATCCGTGAAGTATAAGGGCAAGAAACTGGATGCATATAAAAATACCTATTTGAGAAAATGTGCGTTACAAAAGGAGTCTACGCCCGAGGACGGCGATCCAGGTAATAAGAAAATAATAAGCTCAATTGAATGAAGATTAAATATATGAAAAAAGCTTTGATAGCCTTCTAGAAAAGTCTAGTCTAACATTGATAATAACATAAAAATGATATTTATATATATTTTTGTATTAGATACAGAACGCAAGACCGATTCGCCAGATCTGGTTGTCAAACGAACAGTATTTCCACATAACACGGTTGCCAATCGCAATATAATTCAGTAAGTTGCTATAAAGAGGATTTCCTTAACGCATGATTTAATGAGTGTATTTCTTGCAGTGATGCCAATATGATGATTGAGGCCATTCCATTCACTTCGGTTGGCAAATTGCAACCGTTTCTGTTGACCATCACCTCCTCCGCCCTGCTGTTGGCTGACTTCCATTGTCACCTGACGATGCGTGAGGTGTGCGGTTACCTGGGCGGCACCTGGGATATGAACACGCACAGTGAGTCCGGCCTCGAGAATTGAACTTGCTTGTGTTTGATGTCACGTTAAACTGTTCTTTGTCCTTTCAGCATTGACAATTACGAAAACATATCCGTGCCGTAGCACGCGCTTCGATCGACAACGGGCTGCGGAAGTAGAGCGAGATATACAGAAAATGATGATACAAGATCAAGTGCTGCTCGTCGGCTGGTATCACTCGCATCCCAAATTTCAGGCCGAGCCCACTCTGCGCGATTGCGATGCACAGCTCGACTATCAGATACGAATGCGGGGCGTTAGTGATCTGACGTATACGCCATGTGTTTCACTAATCATTTGTAAGCTGGCTGTATTTACTGAAGATAAAATATAGATTAATTGCTCTTATTACCTTTGCAGCTCCCTATTATGAGGAGAATCCCACTCTGGAATCGGTGGTCAAGTGCATTTGGATCGTGCCCCCAAACGAGAATAAACAGTCCATGGAATATGGACGACCGATGCTAATGCAATACTCTGTGCTGCCCGATAAAGAGATACCCGAGGAGGTGCGCACGGAAATACAGTCCTGCGTTGATTACTACACTCAGTTTCGCGGCGAAATTGTGAAATTCCGTAATATCTACAGCAATGACGTGACCTACAACGAGAAGTTAAAGAACACGCTCTATCCGAAATTTCCATCGAAACAAAGTGATAAGGCGCTGTGGAACTGGCTCTGCGCCGTGCTGGACTGTGAGCAGGAGGATGATTTTATACCACCGAAAACCATTAAAATTATCGACAATGAGAACGACAATGAAGTTGTAGTAAAAACAGAGGCGCCGCCCCAAGCTGAGCTGGCAAATGATATTAAGCTGGAGGAACAGCCGAAAGAGGAGCCGATGGGCGAGAGTCTTCAGTTGACTGCCGTTGACATGGCCCGCAAATCGGAGGAGGAAACCACGCTGCAGGCTGAGCAGAAGGCCAGCGAACTGAAGGTAATGTCGCTGCAGGAACAGCTCTGCATGCCCTCGGGCCTCAACATGAATCCAGTGCGCATGCTCTCCCCGCTAGCCACTCCGAATCCCACAAATACGACACCCGTAGCAGCAGCAGCAGTAGCAGCCACAACAGTTCCAGTGGTGCCCGCGATGCCACTGAATGCGGCGGCTGTGAGTCAACTGCTACCGCCACAGACGCCAGCAGTGAGCACGAATAGTGGACCCGTTGCTGCTGCCGTGCAGTCGGCATCGCCGCGGGACAGCCCAACGAGCATTCAGCTGCCGTCGAATGCCGCCAGTCCTGCCAAGTTTGAGCTGCCGGTGCGTGCCTCGCCCTCGCCAGCGAAGTCGGATGCCTCGTCGCACACCTCACGCACTCGCAATTCGCCGGCGCCCAGTCCGGGCAAGTTCAGTGTGAGCGATATTGCGAGGAATAGCCCGAGCATCACGCCCAACAAGTACGATCTAACTACGCCGCTGGTGCCGCCGTCGGCAGCCTGCTTGCCCACGGCCAATGATCTGATGGCCGCAAGCTTGGCCCAGCTGGCCGGCCAGTTGCCGCCCAACTTTCTGCAGGCCGACTTGGCCTCGCTGTTCCAGCAGCAGCGCAAAGACTATGGCAGCTCCTCACTCAATCAGTTGGCTGCTGCGGCAGCGAAGGTGGGTGGCTCCAAGCAGAACAGCAATGTAGCTGCGGGGCTGGGCAATCTTAGCGATCCCAATGTGGCAGCCGCAGTGGCAGCCTACTCAAACAGCTTCAACATGCCCATGCCGTCTGGCAGCAGCAACAGCGGCGGTAGCGGCAGCAATAATAACAATAGCAATAATAACGGCGGCAGCAAGTCAAAGGTGGACCGCTCCAAGTCCTCGGCGTCCTCATCTTCGTCCAATTCCAGCTCATCGTCGAACTCGTACAAGACAAAGCTCATGAAGGAGCTGGACGAGCTCAAGAATGATCCGCTGAAGATGAGTGAGCTCATCCGGTCGCCGGAGTATGCGGCGCTGCTGCTGCAGCAGGCCGAGGCACTGGGCGCCACAACGCTGGGCACTCTGGGCTTTGGCTCCGACTTGAATTATCTGACAGGCAATCAGCAGGTCGCAAATCCGAGCAGCAGCAAATCCTCAAAGTCAACATCGGCAACGTCGTCGTCAGCCTCGGCAGCAGCGGCCGCAGCTGCGCTCAACGCCGACTACAACAATCTGATCCAAGCGTCCAAGCTGCTGGGCTACGATTCCTACATGCAGCAGCAGAGCAAGCAGAGCAATGACCTTAACGTGTTCCTACAGCAGCAAATGGCTGCAGTTGCGGCTGCCTCGATACCGCCGCCGCCTGTTGCCAGCAGCAGCAGCAGCAGTTCAAAAAAACAGCAGCAGCAGCAGCAGCAACAGCAGCAACAACAACAGCAACAGCAGCAGCAACAACAGCAGCTGCAACAGCAGCAGCAATCGGCAGCACAGGCGGACTACACAGCTCTGCTGCAGACCTACACAAAGCTGTTCGACCCGAATAATCAATTTGCTGCCGCCATGGCCTCGACGGGCAGCAAGCACATGAGTGGAGCGCACAACGAGTTGTCCGCTCTGCTGGCTGCTGGCGCTGGGGGGCTGGCGCCAACTGGCGGCGGTGGCGCGGTGAGCTTGAAGCAGAAGCAGAAGGACATGCAGTCGGACATGCTGAATCAGCTGCTGCAGTTGGAGAAGCAGGACTCGGAGATCAAGGCGCTGCTGTACCGCCAGAATAAGGCAGCGGCCGATTTGGACGCACTATTCGCCACACCATCGGGCGCTGCTGCTGCTGTGGCAGCTGCTGCGGGCAGTGCCACAAAATCAGGCAGCAGCGGAGCGTCGGCAGCGGCAGCGGCAGCGGCAGCGGCAGCCATGTCCACAGGAGTTCCATCTTCGTCAACGCTGAGCAACTCGGCCGCCTACTACAATGCCTTGGCGCAGGAGAAGATGCAGGACTACGCCGCATTCTTTCAGCATGGAAAGTACGGCATACCGGATCCATTGTCGAAGTCGACGTTGGCAGCGAACAACATGTTCATGTCGCCGTCGGCTCTGTTCAAGATTCAGCAGGAATCGCTATCGGCTATGATGATGAAGCCGCCAAAGTCGACGACGCCTTCATCGGCGCGCACAAGGGAGTCTTCCGCCTCGCCGGCCCTGGAGCGCCTCACGCCCACCAAGTCGATCAGCAGTGGCGCCGGCGGCGGTGGTGCAGGCGGTGGTAATTCCAATTCCGGCAGCAAATACAATTTCAGTGCCGTGGATTTGGCCATATCAAGCGTGCCCTCGAATACGCCATCCCCGGCGCCGTCGGATGGCAGCAGCGGCTCCTCACATCGACGTCCCTCGCCCGACCTGAGTCGCCTCTACAGCGAACTGGCTCCACCGGGCGCACTGCTGGGAAACGCGATGCCCAAGAAGCGCATGGAGTTCGCCTCGGTGGCCGATCTGGCTGCACCACCGCCAGCGAAGATCCCGAAAAACAACGTGGGCGACGATGTCTTGAACTTATCCCACGATTAGGAGGGGCGACTAGGGCACTGCCTGTGGACCTGAATCATATCGAGCGCTTGTCCCAGTTAATGCAGTATTTCCTTATCAGTATCTACCCTTAACGCAGCAGAGCATTCAATTATAAATATATATGTAACATTATATACATATATATATATCTATGTATATCTAAGGTACATCACGCGAATCTCCTAAGCTCCAAGTAAAAGTCATATAAGATATATAATTCTCGCTGTAAACATCCGATTTAAGCCACAATCGTAGACTAATTGAGATTGTTGACTGCTGGAGATTGAATGTACAATGGAATAGAATTAGAGCAGGGTACAGGAGGAGTCCAGTATTTCGAGAGTTGAGTTCGAAAGATTCTAAAACTTCTGCATTAGAGAACTTATTTGTATGGCAACTAAACATATATCAATCATTTGATATTAAATCAAGAAGTATACTTAATGACATTCACATACTGCAATGCTGATCATCGTAACACAATTTTAAAATACGAAACTAGTTTTAACATGAAACGAAACCCCAACAGAAATGTAGATAGGTGTGCGCAGTCAGTCCATGCAATACTGTTGATTGTTTGGCTGCAATGGGAATGTTTGAGAGTCTCTTGAGCGCTTGATGTCTTAAACACATATTATTTATAAACTATTTTAGGTTTAATTACTGCACAAAGGTACTTTAAGTATTTTAAAATAGTACATACGTACATACAAACATATACAAACATATACAAACATATATGCAACAGACAAACAAGCAAACAAACAAACACTTATTATTAACTGTAATACTGCATAATTTGAAATTGACTTTTGCCGCAATAAAGTATATAAACTAGGTATTTAGTTTACAATATTAAATAGTAAATACTGGCTAAATCATATGGCATACACTAGATCTTACGATCTAGTCTTAGCATTACCCTTAGCTTTACCGGTCGAATACCGGTTCGAGTTTTTGTTTTGATCCATTTGAATGAATCCAGAACCCGCTGAGCTGCTATGCAAAATATGAAAAGATTAACTTTGTCGTTGTCGTTGTTGTTGTTGTTGTTGTTGCTGTTGTTGACAGATCATAACAATAACAACATTTCGAAGCGTGGCACTGATAATGATGCATAGGCAACGAGGAACAGGTGTTTACGTGCCGTTTAGCTGTTCGTGGGGGACCGACTTACCGCGTCGACTAGTTTCCCCAGCAAATAATCAAAACAACAAGATATCTAAACCGAAACAAGAGTGTCGAGGCTACTCGACTAGGAGATACCCAAAGTCTTGAATAATCTGGGCTATGAAATTTGGGTAGTTATCCATTCCCGCACTATTCGGCCTCGCACAAAAATACCACATCGTAATAGTGGTGTCTTCAATATGTTAAATTCCTCGAATTTTAAACGGAAATAGTTTTGGGAAACATTGAGTTTAGCTTTTAAAGGTTCTGAGATCGACGCGTTCATTAATACGTACAGATTATAAAGTGGACATGGCTAGATCAACTCAGCTCATCATACTGATCAACAATATATATGTATGCACACATTTTTAATGGGGTCTGAGACACCTCCTCCTGTAATAGGTTACATAAAATTTTACTAAACCATTCTAAATTCCCATTTTTGTATGGGAGCCATAATCTGAAAATAAATGAAAAATAAAATATGCTAGGCAATTGGTATAGCTTCACATCTTATCGCTGTGAGCACTCTGTTTATGATGCTGTTTATAGGGTATAAGAGGCAAACGGACTTGTCCACACACTTCTCATATAAATACCAGCGACCTGTGCTCGAGAAACCTTAGTGTGTTACTATATCGCTTCGCTTAAACACATGTCGGAATATAAGGTAAGGCCCATCTAAGAGGACGGACGGACTGGAATATTTTATATAGTGGGATTGGTGTTAGCTAACGGCATTGCATATTTCAGTACCTAACAGGTTTTGGTGGGCACTTCTCGTCCGAGGATGAGCGCTGCCCCAACGCCCTGCCCGTAGGACAGAACTCGCCCCAGCAATGCCCGTATGGCCTCTACGCCGAGCAGCTGTCCGGCTCCGCTTTCACAGCGCCACGTTCCGAGAATGTGCGCACGTGGCTATATAGGAGGTTGCCCAGCGCTGTGCACACGCCTTTTCTGCCGTATGCGGGGGCCAAGTACCTGAGCCACAACTGGGATGAGCAGCCGCCCAATCCAAATCAGGTAGGTCGACCCTGAAGATACTCTTCTCCAGTTAATCAACATTTTTCCGAATTTGCAGTTGCGTTGGAAACCATTCGATATACCCGGGGCAAAGGAGGAGAGTGTGACCTTTGTCGACGGGCTGCACACGGTTTGTGGTGCGGGCGATGCAAGAGCTCGCCATGGCCTGGCCGTACACGTCTATCTGTGCAACGCCTCAATGCACAACTCGGCGTTCTACAACAGCGACGGCGATTTCCTCATAGGTAAGTGGCGGACGGACAGTTATAATGGTACTAACTGACCTCCTGAGCAGTGCCCCAGGAGGGAACTCTGGATATCGTGACGGAGCTGGGTCGCATGACGGTGTCGCCCAATGAGATCTGTGTCATTCCACAGGGCATTCGCTTCGCCGTGAAACTGAAGACCCCGTGCAGGTAAGCGTCCATTGAGTATGTAGACTCAAAGTAATACCCTCAAATATTTCTATATCTTAGGGGCTACGTCCTTGAAGTATTCGATGGACATTTCCACTTGCCCGATCTGGGTCCGATTGGGGCCAATGGTCTGGCCAATCCCAGAGACTTTGAGACACCAGTTGCCTGGTTTGATAGCGAGACGTACAAGGGTAGGGTCAGGCTTCCCGCGTTTGAATTCAACTGACTTTTCATTCCTTGTAGAGTTCAATGTCATTTCCAAGTACCAAGGCAGCTTATTTGTGGCCAAGCAAAAGCACAGCGTCTTCGACGTAGTTGCCTGGCACGGCAATTACGTGCCCTACAAATACGATCTGTCGAGGTTTATGGTCATCAATTCGGTTAGCTTCGATCACTGTGATCCCAGCATTTTCACGGTGCTCACCTGCCCGAGCCTGAAGCCCGGCACAGCCATCGCCGACTTTGTCATATTCCCGCCACGCTGGTCTGTGCAGGAGCATACATTCCGTCCGCCCTATTATCACAGTGCGTTCAGTTAGCCATATGATATATACGTTTACCTAAGATCTATTTTAAAGGAAACTGCATGAGCGAGTTCATGGGCCTCATACTCGGTCGCTATGAGGCCAAGGAGGAGGGATTCGCAGCTGGTGGCGCTACGCTACACTCAATGATGACACCCCACGGTCCGGATGCCAATTGCTTTGAAGGCGCCTCCAAGGCTGAACTAAAGCCTGAACGCATTGCCGATGGCACTCAGGCAAGTCGATTTACCCCAGTTTTCCCCAGAATACCTTAACACTACTCACTCTTCCTCTTCCTCTTCCGCCTTCAGGCCTTCATGTTCGAGTCGTCGCTTAGTCTGGCTGTGACCAAATGGGGCGCCGAGACGAGCCAGAAACTGGATGCTCAGTACTACGAATGCTGGCAGGCGCTCAAGAACAACTTCAAATTGGACAATTGAGCAGCTAGACCTGGATGCTTTATGGACTAGTGCTAAAACATTTATTTAAGTGAGTTTGCAATAAATAAATAATTGAGTGGCTGACAACCATGGAAGCGCCTGAATCATCGACTCAGGCCTATAGCCGGAACGAGATGCTGGGCGCGGAGCGTGGACTTCGATTGCTCAGCACCTGGCTGCCGTTCAAGCGACAGACGCACAGCTGATTGCAATTGATCTGAACCGTTTCCTTGCCCTTAACCAGGCCTGTGGCGACGGCGGCGGCAGCGGCGGCGGCTTTGTGCGAGGTGGTCACATTGTCGTCCGATCGACGACTGTATATGCATTTGGTGGCACAGTTGCAGGAGCCCGCCCGAATGCTCATGGGCAGGTTTGGGAACTTCAGCAGGGGCAACTCGTCGGCTCTCGGCTGTGGACAACAGCCATTGGATGCGTCCACAGTGCTGATGAGATCTGGCGCCCAGTCGTTGACCACTAAAGCGCGCATTTCGGCCTGGACTCGCTTGATGAGCCAATAGGTGCGCATGTTGCCTTTGCCCTGCAGGTGGGAGGATTTCATTAAAGAGGTCAGTTCACATTGGAGATACTTCACTTTAATGTGGGTCAGTCCTCGCTCGACGCATATGTAGCCGCCGACCTCCTGCAGCAGCTGGTGGGTCTCCTCCGATATGTGAATCTTCATGGCGGCGCCAGAGCTCTCCATGCGCGAGGCCGTATTGACCGTGTCCCCAAAGAGGCAATACCGAGGCATCTATTGAAGTACGGCCTGAGAGGCAAAGTCTAAGCAAATCTGAGCAAGCTTACCTTCTGTCCCACGACGCCCGCTGCACAAGGACCTGAGTGTATGCCAATGCGGAATTGCACCGTCTCCGTTGGCTTATGCCGGATCTTGAGATTTCCCACAGTTTCGAGCAGGTGAAGTGCCAGAGAGGCAATCTCGCCCGCATGACGATTCCCGTTCTTCAAGGGCAGGCCCGATACAACCATATAAGCATCTCCAATGGTCTCCACCTTCAAATCGAGTGGGTGACTATATAGACTTTACCATGCCAAGGTCATCTTCAGCCTACCTTATAGACATCGTAATTGGATATTATGGTGTCGCAGCATGTATACAGATCATTTAGCATTTCGACAACCTCAAATGGGGTGCTCGTTGCGCAGAGCTCAGTGAAGCCGACAATGTCGCTAAACAGGATCGTCACACAATCGAAGCACTCGGCCTTGACAGGATCTCCGCTCTTAAGCAATTCGGCAACAGTTCTAAGATCAGGCATCAAGCTCGATATATATATCATATATAATATGGTTATATTCCGACTTCTCTTACTTTGGCAGCATTTGATACAGCAGCATGTCGGTCTTCTTCTTCTCCTCATAGAGTAAGTTTGTGCGCTCCTGCACCAGTCCCTCCAGATTATAGGCATATTTCTCCATAATGGCCAGCATGTTATCGAATATGTTTGGCTTTCTGAAAAGTAAATGAATTGAATCACTTATTAGGAAAATATTCCATGTCTTACAGTCCGGCCTGCAGTTCCTTCAAGTGCATTCGCACGAGTCGAATGTCCGGCCGTACTTCGGGATCCTCGTCCCAGCATAGGCGCAGGCAGTTTCTAATATAATTAGGTATATCCAAAACGTTGAGAGCTGGTCGAAATACTCCATGCTGCAGCAGACTAGGATCTTTCACGAAGTCTATTATCTCTACCGGGCAGCAATAGGAAAATTAGCATTAGCAATTGGCACAGAGTTGACCCTATATTCGTATACCCTCTTTCGTATATGCTGTCTCGCCCCACGGCCCTTTTCTTCCGATCATCTCATACAGTAAAATGCCAAAGGAGTATATATCTCCCTTCTGCGATCCGCGAGCTGGCCGAAAAGGATCACGCAGAAGCTCTGGAGCCATATACTGAGCACGCTTCAGTTGCAGTTCCGCTCTGGAAAGAAAATAGAGTAGAGTCTCAGTTGAGGATATGTACGATAAGTGCTTGCTCTACTTATTCGGCTCGTCCTGTCCCGCCTTTAGCTCGTGCAGGCCAAAATCAGAAATCTGGCAAACCCATCTAGAGTCAATGAGGCAGTTGCTGGATCGCAAATTGCCATGGGATATTATTTCGGAGTCGTGCAGGTAAATGAGCCCCTTAAGTATATCAGACACCAGCGAAGATATGAACATATGATCCAAGTGCAGGTCCTCGTTGGCTAGCACATCCTCCAGACTGCCACGGGCACAATATGTAGTGAATATTATAACGGATCCATGGTCGATTGATGCACCAATAAAGTTGATAATATTCTCATGTCGCACCTAAATTGGAGTCGATATTACAGTAATATTACTGCAGAGCACCTCGCCTTTTACTCACCTCTCGCATTAGCTTTAGTTCCTTGCGAATGGATCTTGTTATGTCCACATTCTTCTTGTGGATCTTCTTCATGGCCACAATATTCCCGCGGAAAAGAGCTAGAGATGGATGATGCTTGAACTGTGTATCTATATTATATTATTATGCGAGCCTCACCTATATTTGTAAATGATCTCTTGTTAGGTTCGCCGACGACCAGAATACTCTGACGACAAATTTGCACCTGAGATCAGATTGAATCAGCTTAAATGAGATTTGATATAGATTATATGGGTCTTACGCACAATGTTCTTGTGGCTTGGATTATTGTACTCGCCCAGGTTAATCACGGTGACTTCCTTCATGTCCACCTTCCACAACAGGCCAGCCAGAGTTTGTTCATAGCGATAATGTCTAGGGGAACGAATTATCTGGTTATAAATATGGCAAAATTTTGATAATATTATTTTGGTATTACTTAAGCAATAAAGCTATGGCAGCGATCAAAACAAAGGCAAACAGTGCTGCAGTCACGAGATATCGCCAATCCAGTTTCTTGCGAGGACAGAGCTCGCCGTGAAAGCCGCACATTGGCTCCGCCAGGGGAGGCCGGCCGTTTAGCCATTGTATGGGTCGTCCACTTTTGATATAACGGAACTCCTTAAAAGGCACATACAATTTATGTTACATAATTCATAAGGGAGCTCAAGTGCTTACTGGTATCACGGAATCCTTGTTGTAGACGAAGAATCCGACTGGCTGCATCGACATTTGCGCCAGCGAATTTCCGGATCCGGCATTAGCATCGCTCTGTAGCGAAATCACTGTGTAGTTGCCCTCAGCATCGCCATTTGAATCGATGAATACCTAAGTAACAAGGGGAAGAGTGCTTAATCCACTAGATAATATCCACAATTGGAAATGTTGACTCGAATAAGCTCTTGATTCATCAAAGGAATCTACATATACATGCATACAAATGTTTTACAACTTTTATGGCCTTTTGCTACGCTTTAAAAGCCAAGGCCAAATATAAATAATTTATAGTATATGATGGGAAAATTTAATAACATGAGGATAACAATAATATATACGGGCAGAAATAATCATAATACTCTTCTTTTAACCCCAATGTCAATGGGTCAAACATGAATTACATAGAATATTGCTTAGACTAGTCGTAGATTTCTTACATCGAAGCCTTGAATGGAATGATAGGATCTGTTAAAAATGCGACTCATGACCAGAGCTCCATCGTTTATATCGCCGCCTCGCTGAAGTATCTCCGTAACGGCACGCGCATAGATCATAACATTGTCATACAGATGTAGACCATGTATGGGTACCTAAATTTTAACATATATTAAAGAATAATTAGAAAACAAGACAAGATTGAAACCCTCTTTCGTACAAACCGAAATATTCTCGAATACTCTCTGATGATAGGGCACACGAAATGGAGCTTTACGTGCATACTCCTTTATTTTGGTACAAATGTCCCTGGAAATATATAAATTTACACAAATTTAATAGATCCTACAAGTATGCAATAACTATATATAATTGAGTAAAGGAAGAGATGTATATGGATACCCTGTATATATTACACATGCAGGGTATATGCAAAAACAGAGCGAAAATAAAATATTTACAAAAGTTTTATAGCTGGAGTTAGATAAGAAAATTACCGAATATGAGGATTTTGTGGATATGTCATGCTTATTTTGATAACTGAACGAAATGAGATTTTATCCAGTGATTTGCTCTTTTCTTTTCTAATATAAGGATCTAAGTAATCTGCAATAAGATATTGCATGCATTAAGACCCAAAGAGGGAAATCAATTGACTGGGGCCAAATGGGTTCAGCTTACTGCGCTCCATAATGTTGACACGACGATTCGCATTGTAGATCTCGTCGTCCACCGAGACAACGATATAGTCTCCACTCTCTAGGAGTCCGCGATTCTGCAAGCAGCGCACAAAATCCACCATGGCAATATGCTCCCCAATAAATACATAGACTGAGGATAAATGATTATCACTGATCCTAACTCAATAGTGATTAAACTTACTGCGCGTCGTCCTGTAGGTCTCCTCGATGATGTTCTCTATTTGGGACAATGTTTTCTTAATGGGTATATAGTCGGATATGTACTTGAAGTGGGTTATGGTGAAGTTACGCGATTCAGCCAGTTCCTGTGGTTTATTTTTGAGTGCAAGAAATTGAAAATTTCCCCAGCATATAACATGTTTTTTGCTTACCTGTATTGCGCTGGCCACATCTGAGCCCCAAATGGGCTTCGAGCTAACCACAATGGCGAATTTTTTCCAATCATAGGCATTCAATAGACTTATCACACTCTTAGAGACCTGTGGGAGTGTTTTTGATATGGGACACAAAATTCTTTAGTGTAAACATCTAAAGTATATATAAAACCGCCTCAAAAGTAGCCAGCCGGACATTATGTTGATTGCCCCTTGTTGATTTTACGATTGTATAATTCTTATGAATTTTCGAATATGGATAGCATCACCCACTGGCAAGTCTAATCCTGTTCTACTGCTCATGAAATAATAAAAAAAAAATAATTTGGGAAGGGTATAATAAGACCCGTCTAAGTTGGACTCTGCACAACCATAGAGCTGATTCGTGATGTAATCATAATTTCAGCAATCCTACGAAGTCATATACATAGCATGAGTAACAAGAATATTTAGAAGAATATTTAATAAGAATATTTAGTTATTTTAAAGCAAAGATCATACTTATTACATTTACTTCTATTTCGACTGCATTGAGTATTGCAGGCGTAAATATGTATACACTTGACCAGAGGCGTAGGGAGACAATCGATAATGGGGGATGATTGTTATTGAAGGCGTGAAAATTGCATAAATAAATTAATATACGATTCTGGGTTATTCAATATTCTCAATAAATATTCAATAGCAAAAGTCAACAAATCTGCTGTTGATTTGCTATAGATATGGTAAACAATAAGACCTTACCAAAATATTCATATATTTTGTTTCTATTTCCCATTTTACCTAGAAAATTTAATGAGTCTATAGAGAAAGGGAATAAAAACGTAGCTGTACAATTTTAGCTTTAGATATAATGGGAGACTTTTCGCGATTTATTACGCAAATAATATAAGATATGACAAATTTAATAAGCTTTTATACGGATTGACAGACGTTTCCAAGCTAGTCGGATATTGCATGAAAGCAATATACTCTTTTTCCCATTATGAGCGAGTATAAGAAACATATTTGCTGATATTGATTCTAAAAATAAGAAGCCAATCGGAGTTGGGGAAAGTGTATAGGATACACATTATAAAAATGCGTTTTACTGTTGAGAAATAGTAGCATATTTTATTATAAATAAGGCTGGGTACCTTTAAGGACCCCCTTTCGAACCTACCTTTGAAGCTGGAGCGAGTGTCCGTGCAAAGGTGGGAAATGTGGTCTTATTGGAGACTATTGAGTCGGAGCATTTCTAAAAGAGGTTAATTAATAAATCAGATTATTTTAATTCGATTCATATCAACTTTAGTTGCACTGACGAACGATAGCATTGGCGTATTCCAGGCCGAGGCCAGCAACGCCTCAGTCGTGCAGCTTTCGTCGGGCCCTATGAACGCGTTCACCTTCTGCTCCCTCAGCTCAGTCATGAGTCTGGAACGGGACGAAATGAGAAGAAAATGGCTTATGGCGGAAACCTGAAAAATTAATTAAAATATACCTCAACGGCTTTAGTCGATATGCGCTGCTCGTGTGTCCCAAGTCGAACGGTGTAAAGGTAAGTGTTTTCCCTGGCAGCAAATTAACATTTTTATTGACATCCTCCACGGCGAGCGGCAGGCCGCCAAGCGTGACCTGTTGACAAAGGGGAAGCAGGAAAAATCGGTGCTCGACTTCACAATTTTATTGAGTATAAATAGAACATGCTTCAATTTTGCACATCTGGAATTTCGAACATATCGAAGCCAAATGAATTGTTTATGGCCTGAGCATAGTTACGAATCTCGTGATTCTCGTTATACTGGGTCAATCTCAGGGCCCTCTTCAGCTTCCTGTGTTGCCGAATAGTTATGAATTCCGTGGCAGCGAATAGTGCGAGCTGTACGCCCAAGATCGTCAAGCCCGCGAGCAGCTTCATGCCCGACAGTTGCTCGTTCCCCAGGCAATTGCTTGCAGTTCGCTCAATCTGCTGCAGCATCTTCCAGCTCCACGGCAGCAGCATCAACAAGCCCAGGCGCTGCCAGAGTTTCATGCTCGAGCCGCAGAGCCCGCACAGAAGCCTCCCCAATGGACCCAGCTTACGCAGCCCAACAAACCCGTAGCCATAGAAACAGCTGCACAGGGAGAAGACTGTGTAGATGAGACTGCAGAGCAGCTCGTATGGCATCTCCCGGCAGTCGAGCTGAAGCACTCCCAGGAGCTGGCTCGTCTCGAGCAGCACAAATATCAAGAGAATGCGATTCGCACGCAGCGCGTGCAAAATGTTCCTGAATCCGCTCAGCATGGTAGAGTTTCTTGAAAAGGTTTACTTATCTCACAACTGAGTTCTGAAGGCTTAATCGGTTCCTACTACGAACTCTGAGATCTAAAAACAGAACTTTAATTATAGTTTCGCAGCTGATTGATTGCCATGTATTTTGGAGGGGGCCGAATGAAATTAGTTGGAGTAGCTAAATGCGAATATGAGTTTGTTTCTCATTAAGAAAAGTTGTATATGAGAGTAATATGTTAGTTAATACACTCTTATTATAGAATTCGCCAAGAGCTTCGGCTTTCCCTTCGCTCTGGCTTTGCCATTTGTCGCTCTTAGCGAGAACATTTAAATTATGTATATAAAAAATGCTCGCACGCTTTGGCATTAATAATTGCAAAGTTTCGCTAGAAAGTGAGCTAGTCTCATATATAATGCACTTCTTATTCTCACTTTAATGAGAAGGAGCTTATTCGCTTTTTGTTTTGTTCTTGACAATTGAGATTAAACTGGGCGGGGATCCAGGCTAGATTAGAAAGCCAAGGTGTAAGGGTCATGCTTTTCTTCAAAGCTCGGTGAAGTAGAATCTTCATATTATGTTAATTAATGTTAATTATATTAGTTATTTTCATTTTCGATAGAAGACTTTTCACTCATCTGAGTCAGCAGATTATCTCAACCAAATGTTATCTCGTTTACTTTGCTAACCAGTCAATTATTTTAATAATAATAAAAAGATGAGTCATTCTATATTTGGAAAAAGAAGAAGAACAAGAGGGAAAGCTCTAGTCGAAGCTGTTCTATTGCGAGAGATTCTCCGCTTCGAGGAACTGAACAAAAATCGATATTCTATAAAATACATATGAGCGTGTATATCACAAGTACCTAAGATTTAAAATTTACAAAGCAGATAGTATAATAATTCTTAGGGCAGCTTTCAAATCGCACGGTCAAAATAAAGGAGAGGGCTAGTGTCAAAGCGAGATTACCGGCGGTGCAAAGACTGGTTAGAAAAACTAAACACGAGAAGGGATGAAAATGGAAAAGAATAGCAAAACCATTAAACCATATTTTCACATTTTCACTTCAGGTTCAGGGTTTAAAATCCAGCACTCAATGATGCGCCTAAATTTGACCCAATGCAAAGGGTTTGTCCCAGTTGAAGTATGCGGCTTTTCAGACGAAATCGTGTGAGAATATTGTGGTCTGGCTAGACCGACTGCATAATTCCCATTCAGGTCCTGCTGTACTTAAGTCTCCCATTTTGGATATTTAGCTCTAAGAGATTGCAAAACATTGGCACAATTTATAAAGCTCGTTATATTTCTAGAGTATATGAAAATGTAAGGCTTATAATACCTTAAATTGTAAATCTGATATATATACATATTGAACTATAATTGTCTATAATTCATAAAAACCAATTGACTCTGGTTGCTGATAAACAAAGGTAAAAAACAGTTGAATTACTTTAACCTAACTTTAAATAAACTCATTCAAGTGTGACGATTCGGAAAATATTGAAATTTTCAGAGGAATTTAATGAAAACAAGCATTATGCAGTCGAGTGCACCCGACAGTCCAGCAACACTAAGCACAGTTCTCATTCTCCCCGTCGCCCTTTGGCGCAGTTACAGGTGAGGCTGGCTGTCAGCGCATCGTCGTCATGGTAATTTATCCATAAAGTGTAGTTCGTCATGCAAATTTCACTTTCAGTCCCTTCCACTAAGGTCTCATCTTTCACATTGTGTGCATGTGTAAGTGGCGTCTCGATTGCGCTCGCTTATAATTTGATTGACGAAATCTGGGAAGCTGAATAGGAAAAATGCATACTTGGCCTATTTATTGGCCATTGACTTGGCAATCCCCACAAAGGAAATCACATGCCTGAGAGTATCCAGATTGAAGCTCCATCTGAATTCCACATTTATATCACAATCTACTTGAAGATAAGACAAAGCTTGCATAACAAGCTTCAGCCTGCAGTATTATGCAGCGCTTAGGAATATGTCTTAAAGTGGGCAAAGGGAACTAAACCGTTGATACGATAAATATTATATACATACATATATATAATTTTGAAAAAATATTCAGCTTTTAATTGAGAATTATGGAATATGTATTTACCGAAATTTATATTTATATTCTTAACCGACTGGTAGAGGTTTTGTATTTATAAATATTAAATAAAATAAATAAAAACTCTGTGAAAGAAAAACAATTTTGGACTTTTCTGTTTTAATTTTTTATAAATCCAGCAATGTGTAAAAGAGGTAAATATTTGAGTTTTTTATTATCAATCAATTTAAAACATGTAAGTATCTGAGTAAATTTAAAAGTAGGTGAATTAGAAACGCTATTAAACCAAAATGTTGACCAGTTATCAAATCATTTGTCTATAAGTAGTTGGCTTAAAGTACTGTATCTTCAGGTTGAAGATACGGAAAAAGGCAAAAAACACAGAAAATGTGTTTCATATAAGCCTAAACCAATATGTTTATTCATTATGACGATTGATATTTGTTCTACAAATCAAAAGAGACACCTGGATGGTAAGCAAATAACTCCACTAATTAACAACACTGAAAACGGTAAAAAAAAACCTAATGCCTTGCGTTTGGTAGGATCATCTTGGAGGGACTTACTGTGATCCACGGTCTAATAACACTATCAAATGTTGGCAAAATCGACATTAAAATGCATGAACAACTTTGATATATTAACAAAATTTCAGAGGTGTTTTGTGAGTTTCTTCGTTAAATATATATAATTGGTTCAACTCCGAAATTACTGAGTGTTTAATGCGTATTTAAAGTTTTTAACAGTAATTTTAACGTGGACTTGGTCAACATGTTTTCATACGTGCTCACCAACGCATATCTAAAGGAAAATGTAATTAACAACCAATCAATATATCAATATATACACTGGCACTGCGACATCCTACTACCAGATATTGTTTATTCCGTTTATTGCAGTTGACGGCCTGAATTGCAAGCATTTTACTTCATATGAAGAACCCGAAAATGTAATTCTCTAAAAATGAAAATATAATATAACGAAAAGTTTAAGAAAATGTATTTAAAAGGAGCTGAATACTTTTTTATATTAATTTAAATTAA